AATAGGTTTTAACGCCTTATTCATACGTGATATAATGACCTTTCATTTTTTATCTCATTATAAAAAAAGCAAATTAAACATGTTCTTAACATTTATTACACATATTAAATGTGTCATTAAATTTTGAAAATGTCTGCTAGGGATGTTAAAAATGTTCGTAGGACTTCAATGGGGTAAATACTAGTTTATCTGTTTCTCTATTATTCTAGAACTCGGTCGCGAAAGTTCAAGACGAAAAACTCTTTCGTGCGTCTGCTTGTTAGGAAAGTAATTCCGATTATTATGTGACGCAGTTTTGCGTTCAGTAAAAGAATATCAAACCTAAATTACATGTATGAGCTAAATAACTTCGAACGTTTTGACAATCCCCAGCCTTAGTAAGCATCCGTTCGCCAGTCCTTGAATTAAGTCGATAGTCGCCACCTGCTATCAATACTACGAAAAGAATGTAAATAAACATAGTTCTGAAATGGAGAACATTGCACCTCTGGCGCACTGCATGGTGAAAAAGCGCCAAAAAAAAGATTAGAGCCATTCCCAACTCCAGGGTACGTTTTAAGTTGAGTAACAGCAGTGATCCCCTACAAGAGAGACCGCGCTTTGAGATGGGTCCCCCGCGTAAAATAATACATCTAAAACAATTGCGCTGCCAGGCGCAGAGGGTTTCCTTCGGTCAGTTCCAAATGGCCGGGACACAGCCCCGCCCGGCGGCCAAAGAATGGACCGCGCCCGCCCGCAGGGGTCGGGGCGTTGATGGGGCGAAGGGCGATAAAAAAAAGGTGCGGGCGGCGGCACACGGGTCGTTATTAAACGGGCATTAGGGTGACGCGGGCCGCGCCTCCTGCCTCCGAGCGCTCGCCGCGCCGCACGCGACACAAGACAGAAGGGTCGGCCGCACCCCCCGACGCCGCTGACTAGTACGACGTCGCTGTACAGCCGCAGATGAGAATAACGCCTCCGAAGTTTCCGTTTTCTCGGCTCTCACGACACTTGGTGAAGACCCTGGATGCTCAGAACATTGCTGACGCTCTCGGTACCCTCAATGCTTACGACACCGTCCCGACACTTTCTACGCACTCGACTTTCCGTTGAAGCTTCCGTCGCCCTCATCGCTCACGACACCGCTAACTCCTCGGTCTCCAACGTCGCTCACGACCCCGCTGCCTCCTCGGGCACTTTAGTCGCTCACGACCGCTGCCTCCTCGGTCACCCTCGACGCCCATGACATTGCTGACCCTTCGGGCACCCTCGTCACTCACAACACTGCTGACTCCTCGGTCAGCTTCGCAGCTCACGACACCACTGACTCCTCAGTCACCCTCGCCTTCCACGACCTCGTTGCCTCCTGGAGCACTCTCGTCGCTCACGACATCGCTGACTCCACGGTCACACTCATCGCTCATGACAGCGAGTTGCTTTCGTCATCTTCCATGTTTACAATATCCCTGACATCATGTCACCATCAAAGCTCACCACACCGCGGACAACTCCGACAACCACTATGTTCGCGAATCCGTTGAAGACAATGACACCATCGTCACTCACGACACCGCCGACTCGAGGTTCGTTGGGATTGGTCGTTGTCGCCAGAGAAGTTGGTGCGGTATTCGGATGGTGCTCATTAGCCAGTCATGACTGAACCATTGAAATCGCCGTTTTTGAATACGTTCTTTGATTTTTTCCTAATGGTTGCACCTTACACGAACGACGTCGTTTCGAACCCGGTCACTGTATATAAAGTTATACTCATCGCTAAATATTTAAAAAAATGTATTTAACGGTTTCACAACTAAACCGATGTCAGTAAAACATGTGTAACCCGAATCATCGTATTTTTAGAAGGCAACCTGTACAGCTTTCTTCTTAAAGCTTTCTTCTCTCACTCCTCTAAATGTCCGGCGCCATCACAAAACAAACAGCAAATCTGTAAACGAGAAAGCTCGAAACGTTCTAGTGCACTTGAGCAGGAAACGTTTTATTTACACCTTTCCATTAGGTCACACATAATTTCCTTGGGTAACGAGGAAGGAGCATGGGAAGATCACAGCAGCGAGATTACGCCGCCCAAGGGAGGCATTCGCGTGCTCGGGTCCTAACGAGATTTTATCCGGGCAACAAGGTGCCATGACACGACGCCACGTCTGTCGCGGCCGCTCCCCAGGTCAACAACACCGCCTAATGCTCAGCTATTAAGTAGAGCTCGTTTAGCGTAACATATGACGTTCTCCCCCTGGACTAAGTAATTGTGCTTCCATTCCCTATAATTGAATTAAATTTAAATTGTGAAATTGTACAACCGAAATAATGTATATTGTAGAACACAGACAATTGAACACAGTAAATATTTGAATAGGAATGTTGAATAGATTTAAGAAATACACGATACAAATGGAAGCGACGAAGTATATCTGCTTTTTTGCACACTCTATAACAGATTTCAGGGAACTTTCATTTATTTTCATAAACTCCAACTCTCCTACACAACTCTAGTGTAATGACATACAAAGGTCTCAACGGGCGACTGGGTGAATGGGCGGAAAAGTACGGTAAAATATCAGAATTGCAAGCAGGCTTTAG